TGATCTCCAATTTTCCTAGATTCATACAACATACATTTTATGTTCTCTTAATGGATATTTGCAGCTGTTTCTTCTCATTTTGAATTATGCTACATCAGCAAATGAAGGTCCTCCATCCAAGTCCTTAAAGTTGACTCGACTTTGAAGAGGCAGCTCTTCCCCAGTCATATTATTCGTGGCTTCCAACCCGAGGGCTCATCCCCCAACACTCTATCAGACAGTGTACTGCTGTTCAGAAGGTTCTCACAGGCCAGTTTTTCAGAAGTAGATCACCAAGTTCTCCTTCCTAGTCTGTTATAGTCTGCAAGCTCCAAAGAAACCTGTCCACCAAGGGTGACCCTGCTGGTATTTGAAATACCACTGGCATAGTTTCCAACCTCACAGCAACAAGCAAGCCACACAGTATAACAAACTGACAGATGAGTGGTGGCTTCAATAAATGGTGCTGGGAAACTGGATTTCCACACACAGAAAAATGTAACAGGATCCATGCCTCACACTGAATACAAAAACAAATTCAAAATAGATTAAGGACCTAAATGTGAAAATTAAAACCATAAAATTCTTAGAAGAAAAAGCAGGAGCAATGTTATCAGTCCTAGCTTTCAACAATTAATTATCCAATATAAGGAAAGACCAAATAGCAAAAGACAAAATAAATGAGACCTCATAAAAATCAAAACCTTTTGTTCATCAAAAGACTTACAAAAAAGTGAAAAGACAGGCTACTAACTGGAAGAATGTCTTCAGAAAACATATATATAACAAGAACTAGTAACCAAAATGTATATAAAACTTTTATAACTTAGCAACAAAAATACCCAGTCATAAAATGGGCAAAGGACTTGAATTTGCATTTACCAAAGAGGACATTCAAATGGTCACCCTACACATGAAAAGATGCTCAGTGTCATTAGAGATGCAAATGAAAACCACAATGAGATACCATTTTACTCCCCTTAGGATTCTAAGATTTAAAAAAAGAAAAGAACAAATGTTGGTAAGGATTTGGGGAAATTGAAGCTGTTGCCCATTGCTGCTAGAAACACAAAATGGTACAGCAGTTACGGAAACCAATGTAGCAGGTCCTCAAAAAACTAAAAATAGAACTACTATATGGCCAAGGAATTCTACTCCTAGATATATAACTAAAAACCTTGAAAGCAGAGACTCAAAACGGACTTTATACACCAATGTTTGTTGTTGTTGTTGTTAAGTGCCATCGAGTCGTTTCCGACTCACAGCGACCCCATGCACAGCAGAACGAAACACTGCCCGATCCCGTGCCAGCCCCACAATCCCTGCTATACTTGAGCCCATCATTGCAGCCACCGTGTCAATCCATCTCGTTGAAGGCCTCCCCCTCTTTCGTCGACCCT